ACGTACGTACGTACGTACGTACGTACGTACTAGTACGTTACGTACGTACGTACGTACGTACGTACGTACGTACGTAGTAGTAGAGAGAGAGAGAGAGAGAGAGAGAGAGAGAGAGAGAGAGAGTTTTTTACCTGCTGGTGCCGCTGTTGCGGCGGAGGAAGCTGGAGCGGCGGCCATGGCGTGGTATCTCCGTTATCAACCTCCTCTCCATGTTCTATAACAAACTCTGCTCCACCCTTCTAACAACCATCAACCCTAAGGTCGTCCCTCTCCCTCCTCACATAAACCCTAATTTATTTTCTCTCTATTCTCTGCGTCATCTCCATCCCATACACTCTCCCAGATACCTCTCTGTCTCTCCTCACATGGCTCAATTGTTGCTTGGAGAAAATAACGGTTGCTCTCTCTCTAACCCTCTGAGTTTCCCTTCTCCACATTGTTGCATTAGCAATAATTGTTATTCGGAAAAAGAGGAGGCTGGGTCTCTTGGTGTACCTCGTCCATTGTGCATCAATGATGGGTCTACAAGGTCCGAGAGAGCGTGGGCCTATTGGAAGAAGCTTGGAGAGCCAAAATTCATTGTTGCTCCAATGGTTGATAACTCGGAGCTCCCCTTTAGGATGCTCTGCCGCAAATATGGTGCTTCTGCTGCTTACACTCCCATGCTCCATTCCAGAATCTTCTCTGAGAATGGAAAGTACCGAAGGGTGGAGTTCACAACCTGCAAGGTATGGCTCTGCAACTTGAAAATCCTCTGGTTCAGAGTTCTGGTAATTGTTTTTGACATTCAATCTGGATTGCTCTAGTTTGATTGGCAATTATGCTTTGAAACTGTGGCTACTTCTATAGTACCAGTAGAATTGGTAATTAAGTCTTTTATCAGTTCAGATCTAGTATCCAAGAGGGAGAAGGAAGCCATGATTTTTGGGATTTAAAGTGCCTACAGGGTTTGTGGACGTAATATTAAAAACTGAACAGATAATTATTTCAAAGATATTCTCAAAGAAAATTATTTCAAAGATATGGATAAGGGAAATTTGAATAGAATGTATGAATTCCTGAGCAGGACTTCTCTTTTGGTACTGAAGTTGTTCATTGTCAGCATTCCCATTTGTTTCAATGATTATATTGGTGATGATTACATGTCTTTGAGATGATTTTTTGGCGTAATTATCAAGAGTTTAATATTAACAATTAATTGAGCGTTCAAACAAGTGAGGGCAGAGGGCAGAGGTCATAGATACATTCCTAGGATTAGGAGGTCGGAAGTGAAAGAAGATAGAAAAGGATGAAGATAGGAAATGCTTTAGGACCATATGGTATCCCGATAGAGGTCAGGAAGTGCATTGGGGAGATTGGCATTGACTGGCTGATGAAGCTGTTCAACAAGGTATTCAGAACAAAGAAAATGCCAGACGAATGGAGGAAAAGTATTGTGGTAACTATTTACAAGAACAAATGAGACTTATAAAATTGTTCAAACTATCGAAGGATCAAGCTTATGAGCCATACTTTGAAGCTCTGGGAGAGAGTGATTGAGCAACGACTAAGGCATGAAATGAGTGTATTTGAAAATCAATTTGCTTTTATGTCAGGAAGGTCAGCAACTGAGGCAATTTTCCTACTTAGGCAACTAATTGAGAAGTTGAGGGTGAAGGGAAAGGGCCTCCAAATGGTCTTTATTGATCTAGAGAAAACTTATGATTGAGTACCTCGATATTTGATTTGGCAGGTGTTGGAAAAGAAATGAGTCTTCAGACACTACATCGACTTGGTGATAGATATGTACGATGGGAGCGAGCGCTAACTAGTGTACGAATAACTAGTAGAGAGATGAGTGAATTTTTAGTGATAATAGGCCTACATCAAGGGTCATTGAGCCAATACCTCTTTGTCTTAGTTATGGACAACTTATTAGATTCTTATAGGATGAGGTACGGTGGTGCATGTTGTTCGCAGATAATATAGTTTTGATTGATGCGACCCGAAATGGCGTCAACACAAAGCTAGAACTTTGGAGGGATGCTTTAGAATCCAAAGGTTTAAAAATTAGCCGGACTAAAACAGAGTATATAAAATGCAAGTTTAGTAATAATAAAAGTAGAGACGAAGTAGTAAAGATTGACGGTCATGAAGTACAGAATAGACTGCACTTTTGATATCATGGGTCGATAAATTAGGAAAATGAGAGATTGAGGAAGATGTCGCACATATAATTAGAGCGAGATTGGCAAAGTGGAGATGTGCAATTGGAATTTTATGTGACCGCCTCATACCAATAAAAATGAACGGCAAGTTCTATAAGATAGCTGTGAGACCAGCTTTGCTCTATGGGGCGGAATGGTGGGCGGACAAAAAATAATATACCCATAAAATGAGTGTAGTGGAGATGGATGTTGAGATGGATGAGTGGTAGGACACAGATGGATAGAATTTGAAATGAATACATTCAGGAGAATTTAGGTGTGGCACCAATAGGCAATAAGATGAGAGAGAGTAGACTTAGGTAGGATGGCCATTTGTGGCGCCGACCAAGTACAACACCTGTTAGGAGGTGCAAGTTTGTTTAAGTGGAAGGACTGAAAAGGACAAGGGGTAGGCACAAAAGAAGGTAGTTGGAAGTAGTTTGAAAAGATATAGGGACCTATGGCCACAATGAGGGTATGACTTTCAATAGAGCAGAATGGTGGACTAGAATTTGTGTAGCCGACCCCAATTAATTGGGAAAAGGCTATGGTGATGATGAATTGAGTGTTCAAACATGACAAACAAAATGTCAGCCACTTTTTCACTTTCTACTTAATAATGCTTGGACCTGTTGAATGAAAATTATATTCCTTGCTCTCCTGAATTTTGAATTCCTTAATCTCACCTATGTGTTATTATTTTCTTCTCTCTCTCTCTCTCTCTTTTATGATGTCTGATATCATGTTATTAATCCTTGTTTTCAAAGAGGGACACATGTCATAACATATTCGAACTACGTATAAAGTGAACACTTTAGTGCTAGGGACACATGTGACAATGAGATTTGAATTCATGGTAAAGTGGTTGAGGGAATCATGGACGATCATTCTCTTCTCTCTTCACATGAAGGAGAGAGAATAAGAGAGTGAAACACTTTGAATGGCACACATCACCTAGGAAACATTCTCTCTAAATTTGCTTTCTAAGAAAGCTTGATATTTTTTTTCTCTCTATCTTATCCTATTGTGCAATGGCTCACATTACTCCTCCTTACAAAGAACATTCTAGACTCCAACCAAACGCAAACTGTGCATTCTAGATAGGACTCTTGAGTACCCCATTTGGAATCCATTTCTCATGCAATTTGAAGCCTCTCAAATTCCTCCCTAAGCCTCTCTCATAGCCTCTCCTAGCCCTCGTGACACTCTCTCTTCCCCTTCCTCCCTTTGGCCACTACTGCTCCTAGGTCAAGATTATCTTCATGCAAGCTCGCTCTTACGGGGCGCTTTGCTAGCCATGTTCTTCTAGCCTCCATGCCACTTATAGTCCTTGCTCTCAGCCCATGGACATCAAGATTTGAGGTCCTTTGGTGTCTCATAACCTTGTTTCTTTAAGCCCTCATTTTGGATCCCATTACCATAGTCCATGGTGTAAAATTAGCTTCAATTTCTCTCTCATTGCACGTCTTCTTTAGTTGATTTCAGCCCTTTTGTGTCATGTTGTTCTCACCTTAGAGTGGCATTGGATGCTTATTCTTCTTGCTTCCCAATTCCAAGCAAAGTTACCTTGATCGTTCTATCTAAAGGTGTGATCCGGTATGGGGTGTACAAAGTTCCATTGAGGTAATCCTTGGGCAACTCTACTCTTTTGACGTCCCATGGTTATCTAGTCTCTTTTTATTTGGTTTTTACAGTGTCTAAGAAAACACCGGGTTACATGGTTTAAAATGGAGCTTACCATTATTAAAAATACAACTTAATACCAAAATGTAAGACGTCGTTCTTCCTTTTCATCATGTTGTTGCTGGTTGTTGAATTTGTCTTGACAATTCATCGAGTCGATTTGACCTTGCTAAAGTGAGAGTCTCCTTCACCATCTTGATTTCCTTTAACATGAGATCAATGCAATAGGCAGCGCACGGGGTCAATACCTTATGTTTCCTTTTTTCCATCAACTTTGACCCCGTAGAAACACTTGCCTTGGCACTACCTGTAATAATCTGAACCACACGCTGCTCTGCCACTCCTTGACTATCTGGTCCAATAATTGTGTTGAGAACTTTGCTTCTTTTTTTACCTCTATGACCTGGACAAGAAGGCTATTCTATGTGGGCAATAAAACAAAAAGTTTAGACGATCTTTTTGATTGACTTTGTCCCACCAACTATCACTCATTATGATGACGCCTGTTTTTGGCCAAGTTTCATGAAAATCTGCAATTCTTTTCTCAACATGCTTAACCTTTTCATCCAAGATTGCCCCCGCTAAGCTCATATGCTGTAGGGAGCTTCACTCTAGGCCTTGCATTTTGAATTGCATTGACCATAGGCCGGCAATATGGGCTGTTGGTTGCATTGAAGGGGATCCTTTCATCATAGAACCATTTCCTAATGGCCTTGTTCACTATGTGCCTTGCACATTTGAGTGCGCCTTTGAGGGTCATTTGTTACGACCTAGGCTTTGAGAGGAATGGGTCTATGCAACTCTGAGCCATGACTTATGTAGTTCTACTGTGTGCAACTCTCCTTGCCTCCATGCCCCACTAGTTCTCCTAGACAAGCCAAGAGTAGTCTCCTTTATATCTAAAGAGGTTGCCCCAAGACGACCCCTCTGGCGTATTAGACCTGGAACTAGGTGCCCCTACGCTCCCATACATACACATGATGGGCCCTGCATACATACTTGCACCTGCCCCACTATACATGTGCATGCTGTAACCACCATGCATACCCATCCTGCTCTTTCCACAGTGTACTTTCTCCAAGCTTGCTCTCATCGCGAGCTCCACGTCGAGTTTGAATTGCTCGTCTAGACCCATCCCAGTTGATGGCACATAGAGGCTGCGATCTTGTAATCTATCTTCTATTTGACTATCTTCTTACCCGTATTAACCTTAAGAAGACCATCTTTTTTTTGGGTAAGAAGACCCTCCATCTGCTTCTTCACGTTACTGTGGACATTTTGGCACAAAGCATCACCCCCCAACCGCTGCTAAGTGCTGTTTGAACCGATTTACTCCACTATTTATAACCCTATGGCAGTAATTACAAACAATCTTGTCTTTCTTGTTTGGATCATATTTGATCCCATGCTGCCATGCATGGTCTTCTTTAGATAAGGACATGGTGAAAACTGTTAAGAATGCAAATGGTCTAAAATCATATTGAAAATTCAACTTGAAAATTAATAACTAGGCACATGAGAAATTCAATTAAACAACTGTAATATTTACTAGTTTTGAGCGGTTTTCTAATGAACTCTAGTACTGCTTTGGGCTATACTGGCCATGGTATTGGCAGGTTGTACAACTTTGCTGTCGGGTTTTGATGACACTAGATTTAACAAGTTGAAGTTTTTTGAAATAATATATGTTAATTTAGGGAGTTAGGTATTCAATTCGATGTTATTGTACTTATATTCTTGAATACTTGACTTTGTAATTTCTAATTACTTTTCATTTTTCCTTTAATTTGATGTAATGTATAGGGCTTGCAACGATTTACCAATGCAGTTGTGAAACAATAGCCCCGTAACCTTCGATGTCTCCAAGATTTAGGAGTGGAGAACATAGCAGTTACAACTATTGACCTTTGGGTTGCTTGCCTAGTATCACTGAAGCTCTTTCATAAGAAAGAGGCCAACAACTCTTCAAATATAGTCTTCTTGGATCTCTTCAACTCTTTTAATTTTATTCTACAGATCCTAAGAGGCCATGGTATAAAAGTTTTCATATCTTCCTTGCTAAGAAAGTACTCTAGGGAAATAATGACTGCCTAAGTTTTTTTGTTTCATACTCTGGTCTTAACATAACATCCAAGTTTTTTTGTTTCATACTCTGGTGTTAACATAACATCCCAATAAAATATACCTATTTAGTTGCATGATGAAATGTTGGAGCCAAAAAATATTGATATCTAAGTTGTCATATAAATGGTTATGGACCCAAAAATATTGAGTTCCTAACTTAACAAATTGAAAAGTTGATAATGTTTATAGCTGCATTTGACTGTTAAAAGATTATTGTGTGGTGAAGAATCTCGCTTAACCTATGATACACTTTTTTAAAAAAATCATGAATGACAACCATTTTAATGACAACAATTTTACTTAAAGAATCATGAATCATGAGCAAATGTGGTTTGTCTTTGCTCCCCTTGACTTGTCCGATCCTTTCATTACCTTTCTTGACTTTCAGCTTGACCAGCCTTGCAATGTTCCTTGGTTGCTCCTCTCCTCCTTTAAGATCAACCCTACCCCTTCCCTTAGCCTTGTCTACCTTTCCCCTTCTTGTTTGTTCCTGGTCATTTCCTGTGAGTCTTGTCTCATTACTGACATTGGCAGCTTCATCCTCCCTTCCATGCATCAAAGCTTGATGCTTGTGTTTCCACTTGTTTCAGGATGCAAAACAAATGGTGGTTCTTGTATCACCTCTATGCTATGTTGATACTCCCCCTCAACACTCAGTTCATCCTTCTCTGGTTGACCACTTACACCTGGTCACATGGGCCAAAACACATGTTCATTGAGTAGCTACTCCACTTCATACACTGAAGAGCTAGTGGTACAACCAACTCATCAGTTCCTTATTACCTATCCCTGTCAGATTGTTTACAATCAATCCCAAAGGGTGTGCGACTTACCTAACTGGCATGTGATATCGTTCAGTCCCAATTGAGCTACTCCACTTCAGATACTGAGGAGCTCTAGATGCTGAGGCTCCACCTTCCTCAAGCATTTGTCGCCACTTGTCAAAGTTGGTCCCATTTAAAAGAAAAATCACAATGAGTGGCATGCCTTGCCTCACCCTCATGTGACATCACTACTGGAGAACATGAGTGACATTTCCTGTGTACTTGCTGCCGACAATGCAAAAAATCTTCCAAGCCCTGGGCATCACTTTTGTCCTCATCTATCAGTTCTACTTTATGGTATCCGATACTCATGTTGCTATTTATGATGTGATGATCATATGGCCAGAATCAGATGCTTGGTTTGCACATTTTCCTCTCTTTTGAAGCTCTCCATATTTGAGGATCCATCTCCTGCGGTCCAATTGCCTAGACACGTTGATGCTTTTCCACTGTTCCGACAAGGATTGCCAATTGTCGGAATTTCAATTCGACATACCTGCCTCTTTCTCTTGGACACCTCCGACTCAAGCACGTAATTCACCCCCTTTCCAGGAAATTCGTCCTCAGAATACACCTTTGTTTAATAGAACCCCTTGATCCCAATCTCTGTCCAATATCTTTTGTCCCATCGTCATTGTGTGACCAGTTATTGGAGCCAAGTTTCCAAAGGCTTCCCTACCATGCCTAACCTTTTGCAGTCTTACCATGATTGAATCTCCTCGATGGGCTCCTGAGCAAGCCTCATGTTCTTCCTAGTAATCTTGACCTCCAGTTTAATCTTTTGTGAATCACAATCCCCATCACAGAATCCTTTCCTCAGCTCCATGTTTTTTTGCGTATTTGGTCACTTGGCTATATTAGTTGTGTTTACATATGCTATTCGCCTTTTGTGTAGAAGAAAGTAAAATGTTGTTAACCGGTAAGAAGAAAGGAGCAAAATATGGTTCAAATGTTAGTAAGTTTCTTTTACATCTAGACTCACCGGCCATCTTTTGAAGATACATTATTTACTCTCTTTTGAGCATTCCTTGAGTGGTACTTGATGGTTAGATGATATAAAACTTGGCTGTCCCCATCAGATGAAAATAGGGGCTTCATAGTTGCTATAGATCTTTTTTTCTTATCCGAATTATACTCATATGGACTTGCTAGGGACTTGAAGTTTTTATGCCTCTATGAATTAATTTTGAGATCTCTCTGGTTTTGAATTGTTTAATTTCTGGGTACTGAAGCATTTCGTTGGTCAAATTCTACATTCATTTCCTTCTGAGATGAATAGCTTTAACAACTCAAGCATTATTCTAGATGCATCCCATTCGACCATCAATGTAATTCATTTGAACCTATGGATTATGATTAGTACTTCAGTTGGAACGAATCAGACATAATGTATCAGTTAATTATATTTATTGTGAACATTAATGTTATATGCAGGAGGACCGTCCTTTGTTTGCTCAATTTTGTGCAAATGATCCTGACACATTACTGGAAGCGGCACGGATGGTCGAACCTTACTGTGACTATGTAGACATAAATCTGGGGTAAGTTTTGTGGCATGTGCTGTACATTCTCTTTTTTTAAATTGCAATATGCTTTCCTAGTTAATTTATCTTAAAGAAAGAGGAAGGTGTGACAAAAAGGTTACCACTACAGAAACTCTGCCAATTGCACGAAAAATCAATGACAGCGTGATTATGATTGCTTTAATCCACATGTGAACATGCACAAAAATTAATGACAGTGTGATTATGATTGCTTTAATCCACATGTGAGCACTATCAATACTTATATATGTGGACCCCACAGCTGGTGATCTTTGGTTTCTTTCCATTTGTCATTTGAGCATTCCATGAAAAGCTTAATGGTACATGTTTTTATTAACAAGAATAAAACTTTTATATTAATTATTAGAGTTGATATAAGCAATTTGTACAAACATTGAGGGGACATTTGGCAATTAGAAGTTTTGACTAAAGAATAAGTGGTGCATGGAGAGAGAGAGAGAGAGAGAGAGAGAGAGAGAGTACGAAAGTGAGGAGTCGTGTCGTCCCGTACCCTAACCCCCTACCCTACGACGTCGTAGGAACTACGAGTACTACTACGTACGTTAACCTTTA